CTAAATGCCATTTGAAATTTTCTTCTTTAATGATGATTTTTATCAAACTTGTATATTTAAGTTCAGTAATTTCACTTAAATAACAATTAATAGGAAATTAAAATTGCCATTTAAGTGAAATCACTGAACTTAAATATACAAGCTTGATAAAAATGATCATTCTAGAAGAAAATTTCAAATGGCACTTAGAGGCTTTTGCATCTGAACTCTTCATATATACATATATATATATATATATATATATATTTATTTATTTCATAAACTGAAATATATATATATATATATATTACAGAATACGTTGGTAATCAAACATTAACTCCCATAGTAGGAAAAAATACTATGGAAGTCAATGGTTGTAGTCAACTGTTTGATTACCAAATTCTTTAAAATATATAATTTTTTGTTCAACAGTAAAAAGAAACTCAAACAGGTTTGGTGAGTTTTTTTGGTGAGTAATTGATGACAACATTTTTATTTTAGAGTGAACAATTCAAAGACACACTATTTTGTACTATACAGATGTATAGTATGAGAAAAAACATTTTTTCTCAGTCGCTCTGGTTATTGCAAAGTCACCACACAATGGACCAGCAAAAGCCAGCAATAAATCCATAGTTTGTCAATTTATGTCACTAAACATATAATTGCCATCAGAATAAGTTCTTGTGTCATTGTTCACAAACAATATAGTCAAAATGCTTAGCCATGTTGTTAATAACAGTGTATACTCTGAAAGTATTTTCTCATTTTTGTGTATAGCAAAGATTAATTTCAACAGTACAAATTTAGCGTATATAAGATATTGATAGCAAGAGACTGGTCTGATTCGCTTTTCACTGACAACAAATCACAGTAAAATGTCAAAGAAAAAGATAAGTCGTAGTACGTATTTGTATAATAAGTATAAGTATACTATATACTGTCAAATGTGAGTGGACTACTGTAACATAAAGCATTACAGCATTACAGTAAGTACACAGTATTACAGAAGAGTGCACATTGTTGGATTACATACTTGTCTACGGAACATTTGAATGATTGAGGACACGGCTGTTCTCTCAACATTTGGCTGCCCTGCTCGACCAGCCTCTCCCATTGAAACGCCATGATTGAGAACATGGTACACAATGGTGGCCTTTATTTTATCTGAAATAGTACAGTATGTCATTGGCCTCTTCTAACTCTTCAACATGTTTTGCCTCTCTACCCTTCCTCAAAGCATTTGTATACTCCTCTTCTTCTTCCCTGCTGTTGACCCTTTTCATTTCTCTATTGTTCTTCTATAATCAGAATTTGTCTACCGAAAGGTCATTAGATGCACCTCTGAACTGGTTTTACTAATGCTTTACTATGCCCTTTATTAGTTAAATTCAAGATTCATCTGTGCAGTTTTTACAATTCAGGTCATATTAAAAAAAATATAATATAAATGTTTAGAGAATATGCTTGACAGATTCTGACAAGTAGTTCAACCATTTTGCATTTAATGACTTACGCAATGAACTAATGTTTTATGCAATAAACTAATGTTTTTCCCTAAATGTTTTGAGGGATAATACTATTCGCCAGAGAACCAGTATAATGTACTATGATCAACATGACATAAGGAATTGATAATGTAGGAAACAGCAAACAATTGTACATAATCAATTGCATGAACGTACCAAAGCACTGGAAGTTTGCACAAGAGTAGTTTTGAGAATTTGAGAAAAATGGCAACTTGTTTTTGAACTTTAAATCATGTAAATAGATTCAAGCAGCAATTAGCAAAATGTGCACTTTAATAGTCTGAGTTTTGTTTGAGGCACATCAGGGTATACAGTAATCCTTAAATTAAATTTACTACTTTTTAATACCTTTTTTACTACCTTCAGAATTTTTTTTAAAACCATCACGACACTGAATTGCAAGTGTTAACCAGCGACCTTTCTATTACACAGATTTTGACTTTTATAACATACAAAAATGAATAGATTTAGAGCACGCATTCCATTTTTGTGTTTAGTGGATTGCATTTGCGACCGAAGTGCATTAGCTCCCATCCAGTTGACATTGATGTTTTTTTACACACCAAACAATAGAGGGAATGCATTGACATCACTTTCCCGCCGGTACAACCCCCCTCAACCTGACTGAGTGGCAAAAGATCTGCTGCGTGACTGGATTTAATAGGGGAAACTATTCAACGATAATGCGACTAAAACTAACAATTTGATCAATTTAAACTAAATGTTGGACTCAATATAGTTGGACTCCTAACAACTTACTAAAGATCCAGTGATCCATGGATCTTGTCATGCAGCCAACAATCGTGTTGCCTGACATTTATGTTTGCCTGATTTCAATAAAAGGGAAATAAAAGCAATATATAGATCTACATATAGATCTAAAGCAAATTTGCCTGTGAACGCTTTATATAAATACAATATAGGTAGGTCTAAATCCGTGTGATCACTTATATCAGGGTTATATATAGCCTCTATATATCGTCCAGCCACTGAATATGACGTCAGCATCAAACATAGACAGAGATGAAAGATCTTTGATTGTGCCAAGATAAGCTAAAGCCCATATTTATACGGACTAACGCAAACACAAAATAGGACATCTGATAGTCTGAAAAAAATAATACCTAATTTTTAAAAAATAATACCTCTCAGACTACATTTAACACTTTTAATGGCCTTAAATTTGACAATTTTGATTTATCAATTTGTAATACTTTTTAAAACCCCGCGGACACCCTGCACATGGAAGTCAACTAGATATCCAAACTGTACAACCATTTAATAATCAGTACCTGTATGACTTTTAAACAAAAATTTAGCATTTGCAGTGTTAATTTTGTCAGCAAATTGGAAGGTTCAATCTATAATAAGACATTTGCACTGAAAAGAATGACAATGCCTTTAAAAAAAACGCAATGTGCAACGCAATTTCAGTACGTTTACAGGTTCATTAAACCTGCTTGTGGATATTTTGTTAATGGCATTTTTTTTTCAGCAGTACTGTTGCGCAACTGTTTTTTTTTTTTGTGTGTGTGTGTGTGTGTGAATTCATGTCGTGTAAGCAGGCTTTGCCTTCATGTGTGTTGTGATGTGACTTAGGATGCGCACACACACAAATACACCACGGCCAAACCCCGCGGCTATCCCTCTAGCCGGCCAGAGAGATGAAGCGCTTTTAGGGCAGCCTGGTTTCCCGACAACCTAACTGGCCTCTTTCTTTCTCTCCATCTCTCTCCTCTCTGCCCTCTCCATCTCCCCCCCCCCCCCCACCCTCTCTCGCTCGGGCTAGCGTAGCTGCGGTCTGGGTCCAATTAAAATGCACGGTGCTCTAAAGCTGAAGTTGGTCAGCAGTTGTGTCAGGAGACTTGGGCTCTGACTGATGATAGAATTATCAGGATGTGATAGACTACAGTTCCCTGGCCTGCATCAGAGCGGATGCTGCTCCCAATACAAACGTGCAGCGCTGCATCAGTGCTCTGTGGAGGGGCCATCACTCCTGGTGAAACGATTCAAAAACCCTTTGTGTGGTGTAAAAACGAGAATAGAGAACATCTGTTCTCATCTGCGAATATCTGGTTGTTGGATTTACTTAAAATATATATGCACCATTTTTGCATCATACTTTTTAAGTAATCCCAACTTGGAATAATTTGACTTAAAATTAACAAGAAAACCTTTGTTACATGTACTTAAATATTTGAGTTCACGCAACATTCTTTGCTTAAATTGTTCGTTTCTAAATGTTGATACAAAATTCGTAATTCTGAAATTTATTTTAAAGTTAATTTTTTGTCCAAAAATGCATTAAACGATTGAGTGCAAGTTAAAAGTAAGGCTTCCATTTATTTCAACGTTTTCACATGTGCTTCACAAAATGGCTCCAATTTTTGTCAGGAAAAGGCATCACGGGAAATTGCAAATCACGTGGCTCGTATAGTTACTTAAAATGTTATGCTCGATTTACTTAATTTTGAAGCAAATATTATAGTAGTTGACATGACTGATGTTTTTTCACTTTATTTATGCATACATTTAAATTCACCTTTTTTGTGTTACACACACTATATATGTTAAGTAGAGGTTGAAAAGTTATGAATACTTAATTTTTTTGTGTTTAATCTAATTACTTTTTTAAGTAATGGTTGTTCAGCCAACGAACTGTTACAGATAACACTTATAGATACTGATAGATAGATAGATAGATAGATAGATAGATAGATAGATAGATAGATAGATAGATAGATAGATAGATAGATAGATAGATAGATAGATAGATAGATACTGAAATACAAAGCAATTTGCTGAAGGGGAGCTGCAAAGCTGAATTGAAAAGTACATTATGTATCAAATTGATAGTCTCTTTGCAATATCAGGGGGCAAACTGAATGCTTCTGATGAATAGCCAGACAAGCCAACTTCTAGTTGTGTTGAAACAACCCCCCCCCCGACTTTGTGGTTCGAAAAACATCTCAATGTCCTTCAACAATGTAAACGTGTGCAGAAATATGGACCATGAGCTGCAACCTAAAACTGTGTGCTCAGCCTTTCTGAAAACTGTACCCAAACAACTTTTTATAGGAAAGGAGGGGTCCGGGGGAAAAATAAATAAATAAATACGGCATAGTACAAGAGTACAAAGTGCCTTTCCATCCCAAAAAGCTTCTTGTTTTCTCTGCCTAACCTTGAAATTGATGCTTTTAAATCATGAGATGTTTCAGCAATTTCTTGAAAATGTCTGCCTTCATACAGTCACTTTATATTCCGTCTTTACATGAGATCATGAGCAACAAACCAGCAAGTTTTGAAAACCTTCCTACACAGGAGATTTATGATCAGATGTGCAGTGCGGAAAACATAGCACAATATTTTTCTATATACATACAGTACTGCATTTGCCAATGATAATGATTTTTCACTAGACTCCAGATGAGTGACTTTTTAGATAGCGCCTGACTGGTAAGAGAATAGGTTTTACGAAAGGATCATGCGTACCTCCGAAGTCTGGCCGGAGACGGATGTCATACCCCTTCAGCAATTTGTCCACTGTCGTCTTGGCCACAGATATTCCGGTATTTCCGGTGGAGGTGCTGCAAGAGAGAGAATTGAGAGTGCTTTTTGTCAAAATGTATCTAAACCAAATATACAGCTTATAGCAAATTTGTTATTAATGCATATGATGCAATTGAATCATAAATCCTTGATTGTTTTTTTGCAATGCATTTTGTTTTCATTCAGACAGATTGAGAATGTTTGGCGTATTTGCCAATCTGAAGAGGCTTATCTTTAGATCAATATAACCACCACATAATCAGTAACATAAATCAATGTGATTGAATAATTTATTGTTTTACAGAGCACAAAGTGTTACTGAAAGCGCAATTGGATCTTAAACAGAAACATCTAATAATGACTGTGCACGACTGTGTCATGTTGCTGAAACTACATCAAAAACACTCAAACATCATACTGTCATATGGGGTTGGTCAGTTCAACATGTAACTTTGACAACTGGCATGACTGGGTTTATCTGGTTCAAACATGCAGTCCAGAGCCAGGGTTTCTTAACTCGGGGTCTTTGGGTCCCTGAGGCTCCGTCAACAGATGGGAAGTAGAAGCATAACATAATGTTTTTTTTTTTTAAATCAACATCAAGATTTTAGGGTAAAATGTAAATGAATGTTTTAGGATCACATTTTTTAAATTTGGCCTTCATTAGGTCATTGTAGATAATGTTGTGATATGACAGACACATATTGAAAAGAGTAAATATTCTACAAAGTCTCAACTAATATGAGGTCAATAATTTATAAATAAAATAGTTTTCGGTGTAGTATAACTTTACGCGTTATGGGAAAATGTGTAGTTACCTTTAAAAATGGAGGAGAAAAATGTATCTACATATTATGAATTGTTGTCTCAAAGTGTGTAATGATGTTTGATAATGTTAATAGTAGCTATTCATGAAAATTAATATACACCGAAAGTGTTGGGAGTCCCTGTTTGAACTTATAGGGTTCCTGGGTCTATAAAAGTTGTAAAACCCCTGTAGGTGTTTGACAACTACTAATTTGCACATGAAAATGCCTATGTGCCTTTAAACTAATGCATTTAAAAATTCCATATCTCAGCCATGCACGCTGCACTTGAAATGAAAATAGTAAAACGTCACAATGGAAGGCATTTAGGTTTTAGGCCACCACTGTTGATTTTAATACGATTTATTGAAAATCATAATAATCACGACATGCGATGACAAAAGACAGCAGTGTTTAACATATAATAATGCTTGCCATTTGTCTTACAGGTGTTCCGCATACACAGTATGAGACGGAGAAAAGATATGCGTCTTCGGCCTCAATCTTCAAAGCCACGTCGCATCTCAATGATCACCAGCGAACACATGCCATTAACCATTATTGACTAATAGGCGTCGTCGGTTTTATTCTTATTGGCTGAGTGATGATGGATGTCTTCTAACACCAGTGACATGGTGGTATGGGTGGGGGTGGAGCAGAAGAAAAGCACTGATCATTTGTAAATGTGTATTTCACTCAGTGGATCATTGCATGCAAATATATATTGTTACAGATGAAACCGAATGTTGCTACTACATTTTACTTAAAACGCGTTTCAAAACACAGCTCTGTCATGCCCTGATTTTAATTGATGCCAGAATACCGAGATGTCACTGTTAAACCACTGGGCCGAGTGGATGGAGAATACAGAGTATTTAGCAAAAAAAAAAAAAAAAAAAAAAAAAAAAAAAAATAAATATATATATATATATATATATATAAGTTAATAATTAAGTAATTTACTGTTTAACTGGAATGGGAAATTATTATTTTTTTTTTCAAAGGATAATAATAATATGTAATCGACAAACAAAAGACATGGCATATTCTAAAGAAAAATTGTTTGTTTTCAATAATAGGCCTATAAGCGCTGCATAATTGAAATAACCATGTTTCTCACACATAGCCTATATGATGCTCTCTCTCTCTCTCTCTCTCTCTCTCTCTCTCTCTCTCTCTATTAGACACTGCACACACACAATTCGACAGTTTATTCAGGTAAAAAGGAAATTAAACATTATGTACAGTACGCTATATTCCTATCAGTGAATCATGTGAGTGTCTGTTGGGATTTGACCAAAAAGTGGGCTCATTCATCCAGTCCAATAGTTATAATTTCCAATATTTATAATTTTCTTACCTTTGTACAAAGCAGACAAAGGACAATGCCGCGAGAGCAGAAACAATTCCACATAATTTGTCTTCTTGAGGACCCAACATTTCCACAAATCCGTTAATTCAGTTTCAATAATCCAACCGCCTGTGCTCCAAACTGATGTAAAACAAACAAACAAACAAAAAAGCAAAGCAAAACAATAACAAACAAATAAACAACCCCCCCAAAAAAATAATTATCCAAAAGAATCCAAAAGAAGGGGAGGGAAAAAAACAGCCAAATGAATGAAAGAAAGAGATCAAAGCACCAATGCACGCATGTGTGATGGCCCCGCAAAATAAATAAAAAATTAAAAAATTAAAAAAAAATAAAATAAAAATAAATAAATAAAATATTTAATGGGTCCCAGTTGTTGTTGTTTTCTTTTTTTTTCTTCAGCTATGGAAATCCGTGCAGGTCAGAGACCCCCTCGATCAAAACCAGAAGATCAGACATCTCTCTCAGCTTCGACTGGACTTCTGGGAAAGTGCTGGAAAGTCTTCTTCAACGAAAACATGGAGAAAAAAATAAATAAAGATAAGATGATGAAAAAAAAAAAAATGGAAGAGAATCAATCTTCTTCTACACCTGTCGTCGCAATTTCCAGGTCCAAAGCTGTGGGCAAGCCATGGCTCCAGAGATGCTCCTTCAAAGAGGGGGGTGCTCCACAGTAAGTGATATTTTTATTTATTTCCCCCCTCAGCTATAAAGGTTGGAGACAAAGAAAAAAAAATCTGCATCCCCTACTGCTGATGGTCGAGATATTCCTCTTAAAGTCACTGGGGAGAAAAGATGCACATTTAAAGAAATGCAGCAGAGAATATCTGATGCAGACGTCAGAGCTTGTAGTCCATAGTACAACCTTATATGAAGCAGAAGCAGGGTGAAAAAAAAACGTATGTATCTCAAATAAAACGCTTGCAAATGTCCAAGCTTTGTCTAGCCTAATGGAAAACCCCCCTTATCTCTCGATTGAATCCCCGAGCATGTTCCTGCTCTTGTTCAGAGCAAATGATGACACACTTCAATTGCAATAACACCTCCAGGAATCGTAAAACATAATCAAGACTGGAACAGAAATCTCCGTCGCACACGCTTGGATTTCAAAAGAAGAGTAAAAGACATGGTCCCTCTTTGAATGTGCTGAATAAAATGCCGGTGTTTGTTGAAAAAATAAAAGCGAAAGCGAACTAAAGAGGAAAGGCAGTCTGTCCACGCGCTTGTCTCGCGGAGGAATGATGTCTGTACTTGTCGGCTCGCGCGCTGCAACCTATTAAAATGCTGCGAGAGTATCCCGGCGCATTTTCATGCATTTCTTCCACATTCTTCAGCTCAACACACCCTCGAAATCACAAACTCAGAAACGACACCAAAAAAAAAAAAAAAAAAAAAAAAAATAATGACGGACAAATACGATTTTGAAATCAGTGACACTCTTTTTGCACACGCCAACATGCAGGTTGCGATAATATATCAAGATAAGGAACAAATGAAATTATACAAAAAATAAAAACAATTTTGCACATTGCACAAATATATAAGTGGTGTATTTTTCCCATGTATTTTTACTCAGTGGAAGAGGGATGCAGGCATCTGCTGCTGTCTAGTTGCTAGGCAACCATGCTAGCAGTGATGCAGAGCAGTGGTGTTTCGGTGGCACATTTAAAGGAGCTTCTCTGTTGCATCTCCTGGACAGGAGGGCCCCAATGGTGATGTGGACATCCTCAACCCCCACTTAGCGCTTTGACGGTCCCCACTGAAATGTGAGGACCGTTGATGTGAAGGGAAGAGACGGACGGCCGTCAGCACTATCTGCAGCAGTTCAGCTGTGCATTACAAGATTAGCTTAATGAGGCATTACAAGCCATATCAGAAACACCCTCTGACTTTACATCATATGTTTACTGGGTGTAATGTGGAGTGGATTCAGATGTGCTTGGCAGTGGTCAAGGCAGTGACTTTGGGTATATGGTATCCCAATAAACTGTCTTTTCCAAGAATATTATAACCTTACTTGTGCTCTTCACAATGAATATGAATCCAACTAGCTTGACAGCTCATTATTGTCTTCTCTGAAAGAAAGCTCCATCAGATGCACATTTGCTAGGGCTATGACTGAAGAGTAAGTTTAGGACCATGGACAGTACCATGTTTGCTCTACTGAGGAAGTGTGGCTTCAGGACCACGGACAACGTCACATGTAGCAATTTTAAAGCACGGAATTGGCGAGCAATTGTTGTTTAAATAACGATGACGATGAATAAGTGTCTTATCAAGCAAAACGATCGCTCATTTAAAAAAAAATAATAACAAAGTTTAAGTTTTCGAAAAAAGGTTCGTTCATTTTGATGAACGAGTTCAAACAGGAGAGTCACACAGAACAGAGCAAGACGAGCATTTGAGCTTATAAAACTTAAACTTTGTAATTTATTTTTGAAATGGCCGATTGTAAAAAAATATTGATGGTTTAACTTAAAAAAATAAGTAACCTGGTTGTCTTAAAATTTTAAGTTCATTGAACTGGAAAAGTGAGTTAATACAATGAAGGGGATTAATTTAACCATCAGAAACTCAAAATTATATGTTATCTGAACTAAATAAATTATTTAAGTTGATTTGACAAAAGAAAAAATGTAAAAAAATATTGTTGGTTTAACTTAAAAAAGTAAGTAACCTGGTTGCCTTAAAATTTTAAGTTGATTGAACTGGAAAAAGTGAGTTAATACAATGGAGATTAATTTAATCATCAGAAACTCAAAATAATAAGTTATCTCAACTAAATAAATTATTGTAAAGTTGATTTGACAAAAGAAAATGTGTTGTGATAAATCTTGAAAATATTTTTTACAGTGTAGTTTGATAAGACCCTTATTCATCGTCTGGAATCATTTAAAGCCCTTTGAACAGTTTGCAGTTTGCACTGAAACTGTCTTTTGGACCTTGAACCGTTTGGTTGCCAGTAAAGTCCATTATATGGAGAAAAATCCTGGAATGTTTTAAAACACCAACTAAATTAACAAAAACCTGAAAAACTCTTTAATTTAATTCCTTTTCCATTTCCTATTTTAATTTATTATTTATCTATTAGCTTACTCTAACGCTATTTCACCTCTTATTTCAACTGAATTAATAATAATAATATTTCTCAGTGCTCAAAGCGATTTACATGCAAGGAGGGAATCTGCTCAACCAACACCAATGTGCAGCATCCACCTGGATGATGCGATGGCAGCCATTTTGGGCCAAAACGCCCAAAACACACAGCTAACTGGTGTAAAGGAGCCAGAGTGTATATGGGATGGATGATTATATGGCCATGATGGATTGGGGCCAATGGGCAAATTTGGCCAGGATGCCTGGGTTAAACCTCTTCTCTTTTTTAATGACTCCTAGATTTTTAATGACCACAGAGATCAGGACCTCGGTTTGGACTGTTGCTGAAATATATCAACGAGTCTGTCATATTGGCCCGAAAAAAAGAAAAAAAAAATAACGCTTACATTTCTCAACCGATTTCAACAGTTTATGATCTGTGTGGAGTATGAAAGAAGTTCTGTCTCAAATTCAAATGTAGTACCTACTCAGACAGCTAAAATGTTTGTTTAAGCTGTGCCCTGTACTATACAGGACTGAATGTGTATTTCCTTCTGTCTGAGGTTTATTAATTCCACCTTTGGTGTGAAAGGACCTTTATATTATTTCCCAAAATTAGAACTTTTTATTTTGTTTTTATAATGAACCAAACAAGCAAACCCAGCTCAGGTGAGAAAAAAAAACACTCACGTGAGGTAAAAGTAACGCAAAAGTAACGTAAGTACCATAGTTACTTTGGTCACTAAAGCCTTTATGTATAATGCATTGTAAATAAAATTTTAAAGTATTTTTTAAAAAGTGAATTATGCACCTTATGCATTATATAGTCTTATGGATACCTGTAACTGGTATAATACATTATAATACTTATCTAATAATTGAAGACACCCTTTGAGATTATAATACGTTCAAACACATGACAACCAACCAATTTAAGAATCTGAAAATATTATAACGCATTTTAACTTTGGTTACAATTATATATGAAAAAAAAATATATAATGCATTATAATGTACATTATGAATATCTGTATAAGTGAAGTGCCACCGTTACTTTTTATGGAGTAACACAATATTAAAACTTTAAAAGTTTTTATTTATTTATCTATTTTTTATTTCATGTGAACAAACTGCATCAGGGAAATCAATTCACTGACAACTAACTTAGTTGTCTCTTGATTTTAAACTAAGATATAGGAACAAGTATTCTAAAATAAAAAGCTTTAAATGAGCAAATTTCTAAATTACAATTACAATGTGATAATGCCCTCAAAATGGTCATTTTAGGTCTAGGTATCATCACCCAAATGCATGTGTGTCATGACGAATATGCATTAGTCAGCCTCTGCATTTGAAAGAGCAAATTTATCAGATGATTAGCTAATGGCATGTTTGCACAAGTAAAGTCCTGCTATTCCCATAGACCCCAGGGTCGAATGAGCCTACACTATAGTATACTTGGTGCTTTCTCTGATAAAATGGTGCCAAACTTGACAGACCTCTTTCAAGTGAAAGAAGGTCATTGAGACAAATTTCCTAGTTACTTCTAAGCTTCACCCTCTATCCAACCTCGAGTTGGATGCAAGACATCTTTGCAGTCATCTCATTAAAGCAAGGTACTTTAGAGAGAGCTCCAGGCTGTCCGAACGCCATTAGATGCTTTAATGAATTAGAATGACAGCTATGATATTAAAGACCACTGGGATAATGACAATGGAAATGACAGTGCTCCTTTGACACCACTGTATGCGTAGTTATTTGATTCTAAATTGCTCTACAGTCAAGCAATAGAAGAAACATGGCTGCAGGCACAAGAGACCAGATTTTCTGATGGCTTCTTTTTTATTTGTAAATGCAACTGAAATCAGTTTCAGCAGACTGATGATCATCGGCACCATCATCTTCTCTAAATTCTTTAGCGGCATAAAGTGTATAGTTTAGTGTTCTTCCCCTTTAAACGCTTTTATGTCACAGAGATTGATAAAATTATGGTCCTCTTTAGACATTCTAAGGGTTAGTTCACCCCAAAAAATGAAATTTCTGTCATTAAATTCTTACCCTTACATCGTTCCAAAACATAAGGCCATTCGTTTACAAGACAAAAGTGCACATTTTTGAAAACAGTAGACCATCGGAATAAAATGGGACCTATTGTTTTGTTACCATTTTTTTAACCCTTGCCCCAACAAAACATTCAATCACCAAAATTCAGTCTTACACAATTGGTACACAATGTAAAAAAAAAAAAATATATATATATATGTTTAATTATAAGACATAGAACTGCTAGCTATACAATTACTTTCAAGGGATATTTTAAATAGTTTATCTAAAAAAAAAATAATTATATTACTAGCCTGGATGCCAGCCCGAACTCCGCCCACAACATTTTTTGGACGGGAAGTTCAGTCTGGACTCGATCCATTGAGGAGTAATTATGATCGGTTCAGAAATCATCGGGCCAATCAAATTGCCAGGGCGGGCTTTATACGATGATTGACAGGCTGTCTTCAGTAACGTAATCCTCACGTCATCAAAGTGAGCTTGTCAAAGATGACTGCAGCTGGAGAATTGAGATGTATAGATTTCCTTCTGTCGCGTCTTTTGTAAAAGCATTCATTTTAATAGACAAACAGAGAACTGCAATCAAGGCATTTGTCGATCGGAAAGACATTTTTGGCGTCCTTCCAACATGATTTGGGAAAAGTGTAACTTATCAGCTGACTCTGATGGTCGTTAAGAAGATGGGACGTAATGAAAAGCCCGTGGTCGTTGTGGTTTCTCCTTTGTTCGCACTCATGGAGAAGTAAGTAAAAGAAGTAACACTCGTTATTTAACTTCTAAAATAAATAAAGTAGGCTACGTTCTGTATTTGAAAACTGCGCTATGCAAAGGAGTTGACTTATGCGTTGCTCTGATTGGTTGGTAGGTCTACCGACTATCCAATTGAGTGCAGAGGTTGTTTTTTTTTTTTGTCCTGGTTCGGTTATGACACGCCTCATAATCAAAGCCCAATGGAGGAGTTTCAGAGTTTCATATTCTTTCTTGAATATGAGTATGCAACCCGGTCTCACCCCAAGACGTCATATAACTGACGTTTTGGGACGTCTTTTGACCATACGTCAATATTCGCCTTTTTAGGGCCCCCTTAAACGTCGGTAGATGAGGTTATGGGATCCTAACTCTACCCCATACCTAAACCTAACCCTAAACCTAACCCGTCACCTAACTGACGTCAAAGGTAAAGCGTCAGTTGTATGACGGCCCGGGATCGCCATCTACCGACGTTTAAGGGGGCCCTAAAAAGGCTAATATTGACGTATGGTCAAAATACGTCCCAAAACGTCAGTTATATGACTTTTTGGGATGAGACTGTGTTAGAGTATGACGAAGTCAGGCTAGTATATTACATTTCCACTACAGAATATTATATCAAACATATAGATTTTAGATGTTGTCAATGCATTTTACACAATTCACAATTCAAGGACACAATTCTCCTGAGGAGTATGTATACCAGTTGTTGGCCAGTGTTAGAAGACAAACTGTATAGTTTTTTTTTTTTTCTAAAATAAACACTCAGCTGAACTTCTCAAAATCCACTATGACCCTTCTTCACACTGTATAGTGAGGCTATTAAATGTTGTGTAGCCATAATCACCTATCATTAGTCATAGATTTTTCATGCACTTCACTTTTTGTTGCATGATGTCTCAGGGGAGGCTGTGAAAATAAAATGTGTATCTGTCTCAATTTAGATATCTCGGAACTTAAAGGCAATCATGAGGTAAATTCGAATAGCTACAGCAATTTCACCAGTGCTGACTCATTCAAAAATGCGCTTTGGAAAGCATACTTGAATGCATGCACTTTGAAAGTGCTACAACACTTGAATTTGTTTGTTGCAAATTCTTTTATTAAAAATGTCACTCAGTTGTGTTGTGGAAGGCTAATTAAGATCCCCCCACCCCCACCCCACCACCCTTTCTGTGGGGTTTACATCATGATGTATTGCTTTATCTGTAGAAATGCAGTCCTGAAATGGCTTAGATAGACATTCTTTCTGTTTCCGTTGCTGGATTGTAGAAATGCACTATTGAGCACTTTATTTGTGCTTACACCAATTATTTCAAACTTTGCTTGAGTGTGACACAGTTCAGTGTGAATCTTTAAAGT